TACATATTTAAATTTTATTAGTATTTTCTTAAATTAATTACAAAAATTTCAATAAATTTTAGAAGTTGAGAATTTTTCGTCTCAAATTTAAAAAAAATTGATTTATTTCTTTTTATTTCATATTTATTAATATTTTATGAATCTCAGTTCAAGAGTTTTGTATTTAATTTATTTTTCATCTCTCTATACTTTCAATATTTATTTTGCCTAACATTTCTACTAGTGCCTGTTATGAAAGCTTTATGCTTATTCTTCAAAATATTTTGTGGAATTTCAGCTCATTTTTTCTATACATTATTTCATTTATAGGTTTCTAAAAAGAGTTATCCATCAGTTCTATTTATTGTTTTAAATAATTTCTATTGATTAATTATTCTAATTTTAATATTAGTTTTTCTTAATCTTTTATATTTATTTCAATAAGGATTTTTAGAATTAGTTTTCGCCTCTCTATTAGAGCTTATTAGAAAGAAAATATTAAAAAAATTTTTTATTATTTTATAAAATTGATAAAAATAATTTAACCTTATTTTTAGATATGGATAAAATAGATTTATCTACGATTTTGTATAAATTTTTCCAATAAAACAGTTATATTTAGTAAGTTAAATTATTTTTGAACTAAATTTATTTTTTATTTCAAGATGCTTTATGATAACAATTTAAGAAAAACTCTTATTAATAAAGGTTGCCGATTAACTTTAATGTATAAATTGAGGCTGAAAAAATATAGATAATGAAAGAACTAAATCGTTAGCAGACTTTAAAATGAATTTCAATTAATTAAATAGGAGATTAATAGAATTTTCATAAGAAGTGATTAAAATTTTGAAGAAAGGTTACTCTTAACGGGACTATTCTTTATACAAGTAAAGATTAGAGTAATTTATAGGAATGCATAAAAATTCAATATTGAAAGCAGGTGATAAATCAAGATCATGAAATATAATCAAGAAGTTAAGCAAACATTCAAGTGAAAATTAATGTAATAGTTAAACTAAAGTTAAATTTAATAACTGATAAGAATAAGCATCAATTCTTTAAGAAATCTAAATATGAAAAGAGGAGGACTTTTCTGATATATCATTTGCGTCTTTGACTAATAACGATTCTGAAACAATTCAAGATATTATTGAAAATTCAGAAAAAATGCCTAAAGAGTTTTTTAGATTCATAATTGTAAGAACTAAAGATTATATGTGAAATTTTTAGATAGAAAATAGATGTAAATGAATTATAATTAACATTAGAGGAGACCACTTTACTAAAATCATAAATAAGAATGAAATGATAAAAAGAAAATTAGAAAATTAAGATATGTCTAAGAGATTAATTGAGGGAAAAAATAAATTAAAAAGAATGTAAGAATATGAAAAGGAATAATAATAGCTGAAAAATTGAAAAAAATTGCTTTAAATTTGGAATGTTGTTTATTTTTACTAATTTTATAGTTTTTTTTATTATAAATAGTATAAATAGTATAAAATGGGAAAACATAAAATTAGAAGCAGATCAAGGTCATATGAAAAAAAGAAACATAAAAATGAGAAGTATAAATAAAAAGATGCAGAAGCAGATTCTAAGGATTGAGAAAAGATAAAATAGATTAAGGATAAAAGTCTGTATAAACAGGATTAGATGTTTTAGAAATTATTAAAAAAGAGAGGAAAGAAGATGAAGAAAAATTAGAATAATGGAAAAAAAAAGTAGGATATACAGGATTAAAAGTTAAAGCTCCATTAAATATTTATGAAGAAGTATGAAAAATCTTTATATAATATTAGATAATGAAAAAGAATATAGTAGCTCCAGTGAAACCAGTAAATCCTTCTTTATTAAATAACCCTCAGGCGCCTAGAATGATTGAAATTTTGGTTAATGATAGATTAGGTAAAAAGAGAGAATAAAGTGTTGTCCTCAAGATAAAATAGGAGATCTTAAAAAATTGATTTCTGCTAAAATTAGAGTTAGACCTGAGAAGATTAGATTATAGAAATAACATAGTGTGTTTAAGGATCATATAACTTAGAAGATTACGAAATAAAACATGAAATGTGTTTGGAAATGTATTTTAATTAAATTTTGCTTATTATTGTTATTCAATTCATATCTCTAAAAACCAATTTATTTCTTCTATTGATTGATCTTACTTATTCAAAAATTGATGAGAGCTTGAAAATTTCTTTTTCATTAACAACTATTTCTTCTATTATTTTATTTCTAAAAATAATATTTATAAAATATAAACACTCTTTCTTCATATTCAATTGAACCCTTTTATTGGAGATATTTGATGTAACAATTAATTTTTATGTTCAAATGAATTAAGGTCATCTTGTTTAATCATCAATTAAAACGAGTAACCTTTTATTAAAATTAAAGCAAATCCAATTAATTCTTGATTTAGTAATATAATTTAACAATTTTCATAAACTTCTTAAAATTGCTTAATAAAAGTTTATTTTTTTAGTTACCAATCTGGGATTTAAATCTTTAAAACATGATTTCTTTATATTAAGTAGCGATTTAATTTAAATAAACTTTCAAATTTATGATATGATTTTAATCTTAATTTAAATTGATTCATCATTGTACATCAATTTATTTGGAATAGCTGTTACAATTCAAAGTAGGCTTATGAATAAAAACTGTTAATTAATATAAGAAATAAATGTAATTTCATATTTTTAATAAACAAATATATAAATGTCATGTATAACAATGCAAAAATGCTTTAACGTGTCCTTCTCCAATTCCTGATCCATATTAATTAGGGTATATTCCAGTAATTTAAAGAAATTGTGGATCGTTATTTTAACCATTCATGATTTAAAGTAATTGTTTTTTTGAGAGCCATTTAAAGTCATCAACTTCATTTTCTTAAATTTTAATGGTGAGATTTGAATAAGGTTGATTAATTTTTACTTCATAAAACATACATAAGGTTTGTTTAATAGGATATTAATTTTCTTCTAGTTTGGTAGGATAAATTGATTCGTACATTACTTTTAATTCAATTTTTGAAAGAATGGGTAATACATTTAATCCAGTTTCTTCTTAAAGTTCTCTAAGACATTCACTTTCTAAATTTTAATGTTATTCAACCATTCCTCCTGGGAAAACCCAACTTTTAGGAAAGGTTTTCATTTTAGAGTGTCTTCTTGTAATTAAAAAATTATAATCTCTATCACATAACATGGCAACTGTGGCTAATTTAATTTTAGAGTAAATTTAATTCTAAGGTTTGAGATCTTTGTTTTAGCAAGGACAACAATTTGAATGAAGTAAATATACCTAAGACCATCCTTATTCATATAAACTTAGATTCAATTATGCTTCATGTTATTTGTATTGATAACTAATAAGATTATTGTCAAAGAGTTCTAACATACATTTACCTGCATAAAGGGTTGTGCCTCTTAATATATCAACACCATAATTCATTTATAATTTAAGAATAGACCTCATCTAAAGTTTAAAATTAAAATAAAGCAACAAAAGTATATGAGTATTTTAAAAATTAATTAGAATACTTGAACATATAAATGAGTAAATGAAGATATAACAAGAAATTTATTAAATATAGACATTTTTGATGAAACAAAGCTCAATAAATTAAATAAAACAGCAAAAGGTAGAATAAAACAAAATGAATGGAGAAAATCCATTCTAAATGTTTATTTTTAAGATTAAATGTACGTTATTTTATAATATGATTTCAATAGCCTAACTTCTCCAATTCTTGGTTAATTGTAGTAAGTTCTTTTGCACCGATAGCTTTTCTTCTGAGATTTTGTCTGGCAATTTTTCTCTTATAATAGGCAGCACCTCTAATGCAAGTGTTAAAATGCACGATACCTTTGCTTTCTCTTTTCTTCAAGTCTGTTAACAACAGATTATGAATTCCATCCAACAGAGGCACATAAATCACCTAAATTACAAAATGGTCTATGATTTTTAAGTCTTATCAATTTAATAGCATCTGGAACAACTTATCTCTTTTTTGTATCATATGGAGATGGAACACCTTCAAATACTTTTAATCTTTCTAAAGCAGCTGCACCTCTCTTTGATTTATATTGAAGCATGCCTCTAACAACTTTCCAAAAACATCTGGAAGGTGTTCTATAATGCTTATATCCTCTTCTTGGATTGAATGCCATTCTTTTATTAAGGTATTCTTCAAAGATGACTCTGTTTCTAAAGAGAGAACCTGTTTTAGTAGCAACTTCATACCAGATTGTTAAATTAACTCAGTTCTCACTACAACGATTCTTTAGCCTCTTTATAATTCTTTGGCAATGTATGAAGCCAAACGACCTAGCAAATGTCCTTTGCCGTCAATCACAATTTCTTTTTCGAACATTAAATTTTAAATAAATTTTCAAATCATTTCATCCGTGCATAACTTTATTAGTTAAGTACACTTATCCTAATCTAGATTGTCTATCATCAACTATAGTATTCTAATATTATCATTCAATCATTCCATTCATCAAATTAATCATATACTATATATCTTAACTATTATATTGATAAAGATAATAGATATCTAAATATCTTATATATTACAAATATTAGTAAACTTTTCTACTTATATAAATTATCTAATTATTCAAACATATATCATTGGCCAATTTCTAATCTAATATCAAAAACATACTTTCAATTAAATAAATATATTAACAATATGGAATCTAAAAAACTATCTTTCGATTCATTATCAAATAATTCATTCTGTCTAAGTAAGTTCAAAATAGGTAAACTTAATGTTATTCTAATAAACTCATTTAACTTATTAATATAATATATCTTATTTTGATCAAACTAATTTAATGAATCCATTAATTTTATCCAATCCAATAAAAATTCAATTGAAATACTATACTCTTCCTTTAGTTATTGTATTATTCATACGTTTTTTTTATAACAATTTATTAGCATAATGAGATTTTCTCTCTAATTCTTATTCAATCGCTTAAGAGCGTAGAACTATACAAATAGATGAAGTATTTAATGAATATATGTTTTTTAGAAAATTAGTATAATGTAATAATATCTCTGTATTAAATAAAAATAGAAATCTAATTCTGCAAAATCTAGAAATTAATGATTGACTTACTCTTTTTTTAGAATTGCTTTCCTTATTTTTTGAAAAATAATAACGTGTGTAAATTCATAATAACTATTAATTCTATTTTCATAAAATTCTTTATTCTTTTAATTTATTAAAATATTCTATGAACGAATTCCTTTTTTCAGAAATTAGATTTGTATGATCTTACTATTATATTAAAATTGTGAACTATAACTCTTTAATTTGAAGTTGGTAGATAATTGAAATCTACTATATTATTTTATTTTAATTTTAATAATGCAACGATAGATTTCTTTATTTCTACCATTATGTTAATATGTTCAATAATTAATTAGGTAATTTTTTATAAGAAATGTTAAGGCATCTAGAAGTAATTCACATTTAAATTTAAATTAATTTATCTTTTTGATTTTGGCTAAAGAATATGAAAAATCTAATAACAAAGATATGGGTATCATCCATATAGATTCGTTAGATAAATTTATTCTAAAATACTTTAAATTAGAATAATTATTTTTAATCAAACTAAGAGATTTTAATTTATGTAAAAATATTTCATTTTAGAGAAGAATAGGAATTTCTGAATAAATGGAATCAGAAATAGTATTAATTTTATTGAGATTTATAAACAAATTAGAAGAAGAAAATTTTAAGGATACTTGATAATTCATAAAAAATTAAAATGTGTTCTTATAAATATTAGCAATTTCTAAAATTTATATGTTTACTAATGAGGTTTGAAAAAAACATTATAAGAAACTAGAATATATATATATCTATGGAAAGATGGAGATTTAATAGTAGATAAGGAAAGAGATACTAAGATAATATTTTAGATTATTAAACTTTGATACAAATAATATTATATCATTTATGGACAGATCTTCGATTAATCGTTCTCCTTTGAACACTAGTACAAGTAAATAAATGTACACTTTTCCAAAAGCGAAACGTTGGCTTGAAGTAAAAGATAATCTGTAAGTGGATAAATTAATTTGTCTATATAGTTGTCCTCCAATATATTAATTACCCACAACTTTAAGTAAAAGAGGAGCAGGGATAGGATTTGGGAAGAAAACGAATATGACACAGGAAACTATTACACCTGGGCCAAATTACTATACAGTTTAAAAGAGCCAAGAGCAAGGATGGACAATGGGATTAGGAAGGGAAGTAATAATACGGGTTAACTTATTAAAAATAGCATGCAAATAAATATGAGAGTATATTTTTGGGGCTAGTATAAAATACACCAGGACCAGGAACATATAAATTTAAAGATGGTATATCTCCGGTTCGTTACAGTATGAGATAAAGATTTTCAACTCGCAATGAGATAGAAACTAAACCTGGACCGTATGGGTAATCATATATTTTAGTGGTCATTACAATTTACCAAGCAGTATTAATAGTAAAGGGATATATGCTCTAAGTTAATATAGAAAGTATAAATAAAATGATAAATAAATTTAAAGCTCTGGAGCTGTTTTATTATCACCTCCTAAAAATAGTTCAGAGAGNTATTATTTTATTTTAATTTTAATAATGCAACGATAGATTTCTTTATTTCTACCATTATGTTAATATGTTCAATAATTAATTAGGTAATTTTTTATAAGAAATGTTAAGGCATCTAGAAGTAATTCACATTTAAATTTAAATTAATTTATCTTTTTGATTTTGGCTAAAGAATATGAAAAATCTAATAACAAAGATATGGGTATCATCCATATAGATTCGTTAGATAAATTTATTCTAAAATACTTTAAATTAGAATAATTATTTTTAATCAAACTAAGAGATTTTAATTTATGTAAAAATATTTCATTTTAGAGAAGAATAGGAATTTCTGAATAAATGGAATCAGAAATAGTATTAATTTTATTGAGATTTATAAACAAATTAGAAGAAGAAAATTTTAAGGATACTTGATAATTCATAAAAAATTAAAATGTGTTCTTATAAATATTAGCAATTTCTAAAATTTATATGTTTACTAATGAGGTTTGAAAAAAACATTATAAGAAACTAGAATATATATATATCTATGGAAAGATGGAGATTTAATAGTAGATAAGGAAAGAGATACTAAGATAATATTTTAGATTATTAAACTTTGATACAAATAATATTATATCATTTATGGACAGATCTTCGATTAATCGTTCTCCTTTGAACACTAGTACAAGTAAATAAATGTACACTTTTCCAAAAGCGAAACGTTGGCTTGAAGTAAAAGATAATCTGTAAGTGGATAAATTAATTTGTCTATATAGTTGTCCTCCAATATATTAATTACCCACAACTTTAAGTAAAAGAGGAGCAGGGATAGGATTTGGGAAGAAAACGAATATGACACAGGAAACTATTACACCTGGGCCAAATTACTATACAGTTTAAAAGAGCCAAGAGCAAGGATGGACAATGGGATTAGGAAGGGAAGTAATAATACGGGTTAACTTATTAAAAATAGCATGCAAATAAATATGAGAGTATATTTTTGGGGCTAGTATAAAATACACCAGGACCAGGAACATATAAATTTAAAGATGGTATATCTCCGGTTCGTTACAGTATGAGATAAAGATTTTCAACTCGCAATGAGATAGAAACTAAACCTGGACCGTATGGGTAATCATATATTTTAGTGGTCATTACAATTTACCAAGCAGTATTAATAGTAAAGGGATATATGCTCTAAGTTAATATAGAAAGTATAAATAAAATGATAAATAAATTTAAAGCTCTGGAGCTGTTTTATTATCACCTCCTAAAAATAGTTCAGAGAGAAAAATAAGAGATAATACACCTGGTCCTGGCTCATATTAAGAGATTGGCAGTATTGATCCAAAAGGAACATATTTCTGTTCAAAGTTTAGTGCAAGCAAATGCAACAAATTCTCAAGAGCATAAAGAACGATGTCTGAATATAGAAATAAATCACCTGGACCTGGAACATATAAATTACCCTCTGAATTTGGGTTTTGAATTATTTATTATGGAAATTGATTTTATTCCATTTGCTCATGATTATTACATCATGAATCTACCTCTTCCTGGATCTAAAATTAGTTAACCTAATTCAGAAACTTTGTTTGACACCCTTAAATATTCAAACACAGATTACTTAGATCGTCCAATCTAATTTGCACCTGTTATACGTCTATTTGGATATGAACCAAAAACTAAGGAACGTATGTGTGTTCATGTTCATGGCTATTTCCCTTACTTTTATATTAAAGTAGAAGAATTAAGACATTTATTTACAGATCCTAATTTTGTCAAGGATTTTATCAATAAAGTACATTAAGTTTATGCATCTACTTTCCTTGCTCATTTCCCTAAATCATCTTAAGAAAAATTTAAATTCATTTACAAATATGAATTATGTCAGAAATTGGATTTTTATGGCTTTCATTTGTAAAAACAACTCTTTTTAAAATTGTTTATGTATGATAAATAATATATGGCATAATTAGTTATGTTATTAGCAAGTGGAGCTTTAATGAATTATAAGTTTTAATCGTATGAAGTATTATTTTATTTATTTCCTTTAAGTCTCATCTTACATATTTCATGCATTTTTATAGTGATGCAAATTTATTTGGAATGAGCTAAATCAAAATACTCAGAATGAAATACAGAAAAAGATTTGAAAGGAATTTAGAGTCATTGTTAACAAATCCTATATTGTTTAGAGATTTATATACTAATTAATATTCTTAACTTTTTAAAGTTACTACCTGTCCTATAGAAATTGATTGTCACTATACTTGTATCATAAATGAACGTTATTAAGATGAAAAAGATAGATTATAAATATCTCGTGCTTTTAATTAAAATAAAGAATTTGAAATAGAATTAACTCCATCTCTTAATAAACTGTGGTCAGATGAAGAAATCAATAGAAATAGATTTAATTTCACTCAACCTGTATCATTTGTAGTTGACACATCTAAAAATAAAGAAGGAAAATTGTGGGATCAATATCCTTCAGTAAACGTTTTAAATAAATAATTTATGAAATAATATTTTTAGTTATACTAAGAGGATAAAAAAAATAATATAAAATACGACATAACAACTTGCACTATTAATCAAAATATTGCATAAATGTTTTTTAATGGTTAATAAGATGAAATGGAATTGTGTAAAAAATCAATTATCTAAAGATTTTAAGAGTATAAAACTAGAAAAAAAGATCTATTTGAATTAATAAAAGAAGAAGGTAATATTGATTATGAATATGATTTTGATGATAAATTTATTGACCAATAAGATCTCTAACAAGATAATGAAGATGAAGAACTTGAAGATGCAGAGAGTATCATTAAATCATAAGATGAAAAAAATATATTTGATATCATGAAAGAAAACTAAAAACTTTAGGATAAAAATAAATTTAGAAAAAAATATCATGCAAATAAAAACAACCTAAAATTGGGTTACATTTTTTAAATTTGTGAGTTCTGTAACAATAATTTTCTAATTTGTAATTGCACAAATAAAAATTAAAAATAATATTCTCTACTTTAATCAAAAACTAAAAAACCTCATATATATCAATTCAAAATTAAACCTCCCTCTCCAAATGAAGTTTATTTATAATTACATAAATAAATGAAACTTATTGAACATTAATATGCTTATTTTGGGGATATTCAAGATTTGTACAAACATTACAATATCAAAAATAAACAACTACCTTAAAATAAAATTTATGCTCTTCTATTAGATTAATAATGTATTAAAGTACCTGAAAATAGATTTTATGCAATTAGTATTGCAAATTCATCTAAATTACCATCTTCATATAAAGTAGATTTATTTAAAGAATAATAATATAATAGTAATTTAAGGTAATATCAATATTAAAATGAGCCTCCAACAATTTAAGAAGTTCTTGCAGATATAAAACAAAGAAATGCTATGAGAAATGATGCATTAAATTCAATAATTGAATAATCATAATATTTTTATCCAACACCATTATCAATATAAAGTGAGGATGATATAACATTTTAGGAAGATTTAGCTTTAATGATATTTGAAATATTTTCTTATAAAGATTCAAAACTATTACCAGATCCAGAAAAAGATGAAATTTCGTTTATTATAATACATTCCTACAATGTTAAGAGTTCTAAATTAATTAATAGAGTTCTTATAATATAAAATGAGGAGAAATACTTGAATGCTGTTGATGGTTATTTTGAGAGAATGAATGCTCCAGTTGAATATACAATAATAATGACTTAAAATGAGATAAATCTAATGAAGGCCTTTACTTTAATTGTACATCTTATTGATCCTGATTTTATATCAGGTTATGATTTAGAAACTAGAAGTTTATATTACGTCACAAATAGGGCTGAATTTATTGGTTATGATTTTTTAACAGGAATTAGTAGAGGTTAACCAAATTATGATAAGTTGATTGAAATATTTGATTTTGATGAGATGATTTATAATATTGGATCTACATAACCAATCAATGAAAAATTATAAAAATATATGGAGTATCGATTGTTAAGGCCAACAGCTAGCAAAAAATAAAGTTTCAATTAAGATCCGAAAACAAAATCTTATAATTCTAAAGGGAAATTAAACTAAATTAATAGCAGAAGAAAGAAATTAAGATACATTACATTTGTAATAGGAAGAGTATTAATTAATGTATGGAGAAATGTTGCAACAGATATTAAAATAATAGATTATTCTATAGAAAATGTTTATTTCTAGATGTTTAAAGAAAAGAATGCTTTGTTACATAATTAGCATCTTTCATAATGGTATAAATCAGAATCCTTTCTTGTTTTTTAGTATTACTAAAAGAGGATTGAGATGACTTTTGACATTTTAGAAATGATCGGTTTGATTCCTAGAACAATTGAAATAGCTAAGCTTTTTGGTTGTGAATATGAATCAGTTGGATTTCGAGGAAGTTAATTTAAAATTGAATCCATTTTAAATCGAGTAACAAAACTGAATAATTATTTATTATTATCAGCAACAAGAATATAAGTATCAACATAAAAAATATTGGAGTGTATGCCATTAGTTGTTGAACCTCCTAAAATTTTCACAGTAGAGTATACATATTATTTGTTATAAAAGTCCTTTGATAGTTCTTGATTTCTAATCATTATATCCATCTATTATGATTGCTTATAATTTATGTTTTAGTACTTGTCTAGGAAGCATAAAAGATGATTTTGTAGAAGGAGGTAAAAAGAGATTTGGAGTAGTAACAACTGATATTGATTTTGAATCATTATTAAAAAAGTATGAGGATTAGGATGAATTAATGAAACATATATTAATTACACCTAATAATGTTGGGTTTTTAAAAAAAGATGTTCGAGTAGGTATTATACCATAAATATTAAATGAATTCTTAATGACAAGAATAATGATAAAAAAATCTACTTAACTTTATGATAAATATCCAAAGATATAAAAATAACATGGATTCAGATAATTAGCTATAAAATTATTTATGAATGTTATGTATGGATATTGCGGAGCATCTTTTTCTGGTAGAATGCCTTCAGGGGATATTGCGGATTCAGTCGTTGAAATAGGAAGAACTATTTTAAATTAATGTATAGAATGTATAAATTCAAATTCAGCATGGTAAGCAAAAGTATTATATGGTGATACAGATAGTTTATTTGTAATGCTTCCAGGACGTAATATCGATTAAGCATTAATAATTGGGAATTAAATTGCTGAACATTGCACAAGTTTATATCCCCATCCAATCGAATTAAAATTTGAAAAGGTTTATTCAGAAACTTTATTAGTAGCTAAAAAACGTTATGTTGGTAATAAATTTGAAAAAGGAGAATACAAATTGGATGGTAAAGGACTTGAAATAATTAGAAGAGATGGATTTCCTGCTCTTTAAAAGATTTAAAGAAAAGCTATAAATATTTTATTTAAAACTAAAGATCTATCACAATTAAAATTATATATGCAAAAATAATGGGCAAAAATTTTATAAGATCATATTGATATTTAAGATTATATCATGGCTAAAGAAGTCAAATTAGGATCATATAAAGAAGGTAGATTACCTGCACACGCAGTTGTTGCTACTAAAATTATGAATTCAGATCCTATGAGAAGACCAAAAGGTGGAGAGAGAGTACCTTATGTTGTTATTTAAACATAAGGAACATTTAAATTAGCAGATTTAGTTGTTAATATATATGATTTCTAAAATACAATGAAATTAAATCCTCATTACTACATTAAATAAATTAATGCAGCTGTTGGTAGATTATTTGCTTGTTTTGATATTGATATTTCTGATTGGTACAGTAATCTACCTAAAATGCTTGCAAAAAGAGATTAATTCAAATAACATCTAACTTATACTAATGCTCATTAAGCTAAGGCTACATAATATACACTTGTCAAATATCTTCATATATAATAATGTTTATTGTGTGGAGAAGAATCTAAATTAGAAGTATATATCTTTATATCAATAGATTTGTAAATCATGTAGCTAAGATGGCAGAACAGCTTTATTCCTCTTATAATACAAATAAAACATTCTTGAAATTGAAAAAACTAATATTTACTCATCATGTAAAACATGCTCTATTGGATATTAGAATTGTAAATTATGGTCATGTAGTTTACTTTTCAAAAGAGAAAAACTCAAAACCTATTTGAATACTATGATTTAAATGAATCAAAAATATTAATAATTGATTGAATTTATGAGTGATTATTGATCTAATTATGTATATAAATAATATTATATATCTAAATATTATTATTAGCAAATAAAAATAAAATTTGAATTTGAGTTGTTTTAATAATTAATTCAAAATGTAATTCTAAACAATTAAAAAAGAATCTCAAGGAGGATTAAAACCATCACCCAAACATGAAAGTTATATTGCTAAAATATTTAATTACAATACAACTCTTAAATAAGGAATTCTAAAGAAAGAATTGCCATTATAAGACCATTAATAAATATGTAATTAGGTATTTATAAGTTAGTTATTTTATGATTACAAAATCCCTTTAGTCAGTGAAATTACATGAATCTCCCATACAAAAATGCAAAGTTGATCAAACAAAAAAAAAGAAAATCAATCAAGTTGTTTTCAAAACTGAGATTGATGAAAACAAAAACACACAATAAGGATTTCAAACACAAAGAAAGAGTTATGATTGCGTTGCAGTAGAAAATAAAATCAATAGTTTCAATCTTATTTCAAGTATATTTGAATTAGAATCTAAAAATATGGATCTTTATTTGAATCTTTAAGATAAAAATACTCTGATTTAATAAATGAAAACATAAATTGAATAATAATAAATAAAAAATTAATAATAAATTAGACAATATAGTTAAGAAAAAAAAGAACTTATTTTAAAGTAAATATAATTACTATTAAATAGAATTTAAAACTTAGAAAAGTAATCTGAATAGCAAAGGAGATATATTGAATAATAACCTTAATATGAAATTGAAGCCTAAGAGTGGAAAAGTAGATTTCTCAAATTGAATAAGTAATTCCACCAATAGCAAGAGACTTTAGTCAGATTAGAAGCTGAGTAACAAAGTAGTCAACGAAGAAAAACAGATGGATTTAATTATTTTAATTAAAAAATGTGAAAGAATTATTACTATATCAGAATTCATTAGTTTTTTCACAATATAAAACTTGTGAATCAAACTAAATTCTAATTTATTTTTATTTAAAGACAACAATCATTCTATTCACTTAATTTATGTGATGACTGAAAGAAATATTATTTATGATACAACGAGTTTCTCTCCTCAAAGATCTTAGGAACTTCCCTTATTAAAATCAGATTCATTTATATATAATTATAATGAAGCAGCTGAGTTGGAAGAAATTGGATAAGATTAGCTAGTCTTCAATAAAGAATTTCAAGAATATTAAGAAATTTTGTTTGAAAATGAATGGTCTAAAAAGAATTATTTTTAAAAAAGTTTTTCAAAGTATTCTGATGATTCAAACATATCAGGACCTTCAACCTAATTTTGTCAAAGCTGCTAATAATAAAATTGTATTTGCTCACAATTTTGCCAAAAATGTTAATGTAATATTTGTAATTGCTCTACTAAAAAAAAAAAATTCTTAGATAAAAGCTACTGTAGATATATCCTTTTATATGTATTTCGTACAATTGAAAATCAACAATACGCTCAAATTATTAGAGATATTTGTTGTAAATTTTAAGTAAATTACGATGATTTTAAATCTTACTATAAAAAGTAAAGGTTATTAACTATTGGTTACCAATCTTTAAAAAAAGAGTTGATTTATGATAATGATGATATTGCTGATTAGAACCGTAAGAAAGCATTTAAGAATGTTCTCTAATGGTATCTAGATAAAGTTGCTACAAAACACATCTTGTTAAGCAAAAAGCAAAACTTTCAAGGATATCTTAAATTTAAAAATTATGTTTTATCTTATTACATTCATGATCCAAAAAATTGGGTTGGAAACAAGCCATCATGGAAATGAATATACATTAACATCAGTATAGAATATTTATAAGTAATTTTAATATCATTCAAATTTGAGTAGAGACTTTATTTTAAATTTATCTTGAATTATTTTAGCCTCCTTTACATTTTTTTGAGCTTGTTAATCTATTCAAAAATTTATTTTATTTTATTTTTCGTTTTGCTTGATTATTCCCTCTTTGTTATAGATTAAAAATAAAAAAAAACTAACTAAGTTTTTTAATACTAGCTCAACGAGAAAATATCTCTTCATAAAGCATTTTCTTTCTTTAATTTTCTAAATTTAAGCACTTGTTGTTGCAAATTTGAGAATTAAGTTATCTTTGCTTTAAAACTCTCCTGATATTTATTTTTTGAATTATTCAAAAAAAAATGAAAAAAAAATTATTTTTTTTAAATATATGATATTAAGTATCTTTAACTGACTATAAAACTTATTATTTTTTTGGATTTTAAAATATTATCTCAAACAATAACTTGACCGGTAAACAAATTAAAGCAGTTACAATTTTAATTTCATCAAAATCAAACTCTTATTTCAACCGCATTTACTCACAGCCTTTGTATGAATATTATTGAGTTTAAAATTTTTATTATGTTAATAAATAAGCTAATATGATGAGAGGGTCCTATCTATTTGGTATTGAAATTCAAAGGCTTGCATGGTGTATGAATTTTATTAATCGTATACAATTATGCTAATAACTTTATAAACGAATCAAATTCAAGTCCTTCATATAAATGGTAGCACTAATTTTCATCATAAACGATGAGAATTGGTTTCTTATTTAAGAGAGCTGCTTTTATCAATAAGATATCATAAATTGCTTTTAAACATTCTTATTCATTATGTCTAAAAAATTTTAAAATACTAATATTAAATTATTTTTTCTTTTTTTTCTATTTCACATATTTGATTGATTATCTCATCATTTATAGTCTTTAAAGGTTAATTGAAACTTTTAAACTCATTCTCAATTGATTAAAAAGTCTTTATTTTTTTCTTTCTTTTTTGGTAAATACTTCCATTTATTAAATTTACTTGTGTCTAAATTTCGTTGCAGTTTTATTAGAAATTTTACTTAATTTTTTCTTTCTAGCTTATTTTTTTATAAACTTTCCATTGCTCCAATTTCTTCTCTCATTTATTTAGTTTACTAAAAATATATATTTATCTTTTATTAAAGGTTCATTTTAATATCTGTATTTTTTTGGTAAATTTTTTGATTCTAGTTCTAATTCTAAAATTCAGAAATATGCAGATCTACTTGATTTTGCTGGCTTATTGTCTGCTGATTTTTTAAAGTTCAACTATTCATAGATCAAAGTAAAATAAAAAGAAATATATTATTATTTAGTGATTACATTTACTTATTCTTGAACTTATAAATCATAAAGCCAAATATAAAATTGTTACAATCCATATTCCAAATTAATAACCATATTCTGATATTTGTTTATCCCCTTCGGATGAATCTGCCTACTATTTTGCCAAGTCAACATCTGGAGCTAAGGCTAATTAAGCAAAATCATCATCATCATCACCATCTTTCTCTTTTTAATCGTCAGAAGGCTTAGAATCAGTTGGTTCTTCATCCGGTTTCCCTTATTCTTCATCTTTTTTTTCTTCATCATTTTTCTAATCATCTTCATCACCGTCTTTATCATCTTCAGTTACAGGCTCACTTTCTTTTTCAGATTCAGAAGCAGGTTCGCTTTCTAGTTCAGCTTCACTTTACTAATCTTCTTAATCGTCTTCTTTTATGTCTTCTTCAGGCTTAGGTTCTTCTTCGGCTTTAGGTTCTTCCACTGGTTTAATTTCTTCTTCAGCCTCGGCTTCCTCTTCAGCTTTCACTTATTCTTCAGGTTTGGCTTCTTCTTCTGCTTTAGCTTCTTCCACTGGTTTAATTTCTTCTTCAGCTTCAGCTTCTTCCACTGGTTTAATTTCTTCTTCGGCCTCAGCTTCTTCTGGTTTTGCTTCTTCTTCAGCCGCAGCTTCTTCTGGTTTGGCTTCTTCTTCAGCTTTAGCCTCTTCTGGTTTGGCTTCTTCTTCAGCTTTAGCCTCTTCTGGTTTGGCTTCTTCTTCGGCCTCAGCTTCTTCCTCAGGTTTGGTTTCTTCTTCAGCCTCAGCTTCTTCTGGTTTGGCTTCTTCTTCCGCCGCAGCTTCTTC